GAAGTTTGGAGTTGCCCAGATGAGGGCATTTGGAAAACTTCGGAGGCCGAGTCAAAGCACACATCCACCCCATCTGAGGCTCTGTCTCGGGGGCCAGGATATGGCCACCCCTGCATCCCCAACCTCCCACTAACGCTTAGCAGCTGGTCCACTTCCGGCCGCCAAGAACAACAATACAGAGTGCCGCGTTGGAAGAGGCCTCTCTCCCCGAAGAGAGAAGACAAATTCCTCTGCAGTGTTTTGGCATTCCTGGGCCAGGCCTGGCCACGTCCCAGAGACCAGAACCAGGACACAACTGCTGCCCAGGGTTCCTGAGGTTGCCCCATGATCCTACCACTTCCTGCTCCTCCCCACCCCCAGAGAATGGAGGGGTGTTCCCAGGCCCGGATAACGAGCCTTTGGAGATACTGAAGAGGGGTTTTATTGATTTTCCTTTGGGAGGAGGGTTGGGGACATGCCCAGCAGTGCTCAGGGCTCAGTGCTCAGGGAGCAGACTGGCAGGGCTTGGGAATCCCATGGGGAGATGGGTATTGAGCCCTGGTTGTTGGCACCTACAGCAAGCGTTTTCCAGGGGTTCTCTCTCTCTCTCTGGCCCCATAAAGAGAGGTTTTATTGTTTGTTTTTGGTTTGGGGGGCCACACCTGATGGTGCCCAGGGCTGACTCCTGGCTCTGTGCTCAGGGATCACACCTGAAGGACTGTGATGGCGTGCCGGGGATCAAACCCAGGGTTTCCTGGCCACATGCAAGGAAAATTCCCTACCCACTGTGCTATTGCTGCAGTCCACCCCCCTGAAAAGAGTCTTTATAGAAAATGGCCATTCCAGAAGATTCCAGACTCTGGTTTTGCTGTCTATACTGCCTCCTCTCCTCCTGACTGGACCCCCAAATCTGGACAAAGTTGCAGGGTCACACAGTACCATCCTGGGGGGCTCTGACCTTGTTAGGAGTCGCTATAACGCCTGTTGCCTCAGCTTCTCCTGAGATGAGTGACAGGCTCGAATCTCATACCTATACTGATGAAGAGGGCTCATCACTCCCACACTCCCCAAACCGGGTTCCCAAGGGACTCTCTCAAGCCCAATGACCTGGATTAAACTTGGGGCATCTTGACACCCTTAAAGTCTCGAGTGGACGTTCGCAGGCCAGAGCGATAGTGCAGTAGGGAGGGCGCTTGCCTTACACGCTGCTGATCCGGGCGTGATACCAGGCACCCCGTAGGGTTCCCCCCAAGCACTGCCAGGAGTAATTCCTGAATGCAGAGTCAGGAGTAACTCATGAGCATCACGGAGTGTGGACCCCTGAGTGGAGGCTCATGCTCATGGATCTTGGGGTGACTGCTGTGACTTTATTTTCAGACAGCCCTCGCTCACCAGCGAAGCCCATGGGTAGCACCCTGGGTGTCAGGCCCCACCCCACAGCCTAGTCCCACCCACTCAGGCCCCGCCTTAATGTATTGGCCCCGCCCGCCGAAGCCACGCCCCAAAACCCTGGCAGCCCTCTCCCTGTCCCCAGCTCCACCCTAGCCCCCTACTCAGACCACACCCACGCCCTAGCCCCGCCCCACAAGGCCCCGCCCCAGGCCCCGCCCCTGGCTCTGGCAGCCCTCTCCCTGGCCCCATCCTCTCGTCCCTCCACTTCCCAGGCCTGGCCCTGGTTCTCCCCAGGGCGGGGAGAACTGTGTGTTCAGCTCTTTTGTCCACGGATGGGGGACGGGGCCTTTTGTTTTGCGGTGGGGAACTGGGTGAGTCACACATTTATTCTTTTGGGACATTTTAACCTGAGTCCCATGCCAGGACTCCGCCTGATGCTGGGAATTCTGCAGGCAGCAAAAAACAAAAGCAGGGCCGGGGTGGGGGGGGGGTTCGGGGGGGGGGGGGGGTGAATGGATGATTCAAGGCTCTGGCGAGCCTGATTCGCATGTGGGAATGCCATACCCGCTAACAGCACTCCACACGCCTGCAGTCCCCTCCACACTCACGCGTACACACACACTCCCCAGCCAGCCCTGCCATGCCCACCTCTCTGGCCAAGTGAACTCTCTTGTCCGCTGTCAGCCTTCCCTGGGCTCCCACCTTCCCTCTGCCCACACCCAGACATTAGCCCCAGCCACTCACTCACACATTCACTGGAGATCCGGGGAAGCCTAGACCCCAGGACTGAGCCATGCGGAGAGCAGGTCAGATGTTGGGGAGCCCTGGATAGTCCAAGTGGGAGACCCCCAGCCATGATGCAGACCAAGAGGGGGGAGGGGAGAGGAGAGAGAGAGAGACAGACACAGAGACAGAGGGAGACAGAGACAGAGACAGTGAGAGGAGGGGAGGGGAGGGGAGAGGGAAGGAGAGGAGAGGAGAAAAGAGAGGAAAGAGGGGAGGGAGAGAGAGAGGGACGGAGAGGGAGAGGGTTTGGGGAAGCGCCTCCCACAGGTCCCACATGCTCCTGACCTTTCCCAGCTCTGAGCAACTCAGAGCAGGCAGGTGCATCGTGCTGCTTGGTATTAATTTTCTCAAGAAACAGGTCAGGGAAAATTGGGAATTTTTGCAGCCAACACCCCAGGCTACCTCAAGTGTCTGCGCCCTGCTGAGAATTTGAAGAATTGGGGCATGGAGCCGCCAGACTCGGGCCGGATCAGGCTGATTCTGGGGCACAGCCTGCTCCTCAGATGCCCCCACATGGGGCCCCGCCGCCACCTGGCACCCAGTTTCTTCGGGGAGGGTGGGGCGCACGACCAGCAGCCAGGACCATGCAGAGCCCTGCCTCAGCCCCTGGAGGCCCCCCACTCCTCCTTAAGTAGGGGGAGTCAGGGGCACTCCCACTAGTCCTGGGGTGTCTGTGGGGGGTAATTGCTGCGCTGTCGGGGTTACCTGATGCAACGAAGAGTGTTCCCGAGCTTCACATTAGTCATGATTCTCCTGCTGCCCAGGAGTGGGGAACCCCTCTGCACACCCCAGTTCTCAACACCTTCCAGGTAGCCTTGTCCCCCCATGCCAGCAGGGCCAGGCCAGGACCCCAGGTACCCACCTCCCTGTCTGTTTCCTTTTACTGCTCCGCAAAGCCAGGGCTTGGCTTATTTGCTCTCCATTGTTCAAAGCCCCTGAGCTGCTGCTCTAAGCTGAGCCCCGCCCCGCCCAGCTGGCTCTGGGGGCAACCTTGCGGCAAGAACAAGGGGCTCTGCTGGGACTCCGGGGTCTCCCAGACACGCTCTCCTCACACCACGCATGACCCCAGCCAGAGGCCAGAGACACCCGCCCCAGCCGCATCCTAAAGCCGCTCCCGGAAGTCTCAGCTGCTGCCACGCTGGCAGAATCACCCGGAGAAAAGGCCCCACACGTGGCTCCTCCCTCCACGGCTCTTGGAGAGTTGGGACCAGAGGCCGGTACTGGAAAAACCATCAGGGCTCACACATGTGCCTCGACACCGACACACACATACAGATATGTACACACAGATACACATGTATAAGCATACACATAGATACACATATGCACACACACCAAGACACAAATGTAAACGCAGGCAATGCCCCAGACACACAACGTAGAGACATGCACACATGTGCAAGGCACACTTGCACACACATAGACACATGCAAAATACACATATGAACACACATGTGTGTGTGCAACGCAACCAGTCCTACATGCACACAGACACACATGCACATAGACACACATGTTCACATGCGTAAAGACATGGATAGACATTCCCTGCGGGGTCCCTGTGCTCCCCAAAGTTAGGTGAGAGGGGAGAAAGAGGCAGAAGCTGCTAAAGTGTGCAACAGGGACTCCTCGGGCCACTGAGCACCCCCAGGTGTGGACTCCCCCAAGCCAAGGAGAGGGAACTCCTGGATGAGCCCCACTTATCCCGGCAATCACCCCAAAAGTGCCCGCAGGAACGCATTCTCAGTCAGGACAGAGGGAAGTGGGGCCATTGGCACCCCGGACACACGGGGCTGATGAGCCCCCTTTCCACTCACCCACCCATGCCCCACCCTTGTAGGACGAAGAGGGGGTGCTGGGGAGCAGAGGCCCGGGGGTACTCAGGGTCATGGGTCCCCTGTGTGGGACATCTAGGAGTGGGTCTCTGCGTAAGTGGGTGCCATGCAGGGGGTGCTCGAGGTGGGGGGAAGTCCACAGTGTTGGGTGGACTCGCCGATCAAACACGGGCTCCAGTGCTTTGACCCGCAGGACAGTCCATGTGTCACCATCTGAGCAGTGCTGGGAATGAGGGGGTTTGCCAGCTGCAGGTGTGGGGCTGAGCCCCAGAAAATCACAGCTGGGGGGCTGGTTCTGGGGATACGGCTCAGACCCGAGCCCTGTCAGCAGAGCTTAGCCCTGGGGAGGAAAGGTTCGGCTCATGGGCAGCCCTGCAGGGTTAAGGGGGTCCCATCTGCACCCCAGCACCCCCAGACTTGTTGCAGCCAGGAAGGTGGGAGACCAGTCTGCTGGGGAGGGCGGGTACCTGGAGGGCAGGCTCTGGGGGAGGCGGCCGCTGGGCTCGGAGCTGACAAAGTTTCAGGCTGACTGGAAATGCCCCAGCACGTGGGGATGACTCACGCAGGCTCCAGTGTGGGGGGGAGAAGACGAGGAGGGGTGGGGACCATGCAGGGAAGGAGAGGTCCGGGGCCATGAGGGTCAGACTTCGAGACACGGAGGCTGGAGTGGAGATCCAAGACCTGGCTCCAGGGCCACCTCCCATGGAGGGTCAGAGAGTTCGGGTAGAGGGGGACACTGACTGCTTGCCTTGCACTCCAGAGACCTGAGTTTGCTTCCCACTTCCAGGAGTGACCCTGAGCACCGCCATGTGTGTCTCCCAAGCCGAAAACAAACAAAAGAGAACAGCCCAAGCTCCTTGCTTTGGACACTCACCAGCAGAAGGGGATCCCCCCGCCAGGCCCACACTGGAGGCCTCAAAACTCCCCAAATCTACCAACAGCCCTTTGCCGTGACATGCTTAGCAGAGTGACACTGACACAGGCGGCAGCTCCCACACCTGCACTTACCCGTGTCCAGGCTCAGAGGGCCCCCTGGAGGCGGTGACCAAGGCGTAGGAGGCCGGCGGTGGACCACGTGCAGGCGGCCCTGCGCGGCCTCCATGCTGGCCTCTCCCTTGGCCACGGGCTCGATGAAGAATTCTTCCTCATCCACCCGGATCAGACCTGCCTGGAGAAACGAGGAGAGAGGGTTCAGACCCCCACATCCGGCAAACTGGAGAAACCCCACAAACCAAGGGAGCCAAGAAAGAAGGTCCTGCCCAGGCCAGTCCGAGGGTGCCAAGTTCGAGACGGACGTGGAAATGTTCAGCCACGGCTGAGGCAGCCACAGACAGAGGTGCTGTGTGGGTGTTTTATTTCATAGGGTCCTGAATTTTGAATTCCAGGCTCTGGCCAGTGATCCTCTCCCACCCTCCTTTCCTCCTTTCTGCCTTCCTTCCTCCCTCCATCCCTCTCTCCCTCTTTCTTTCCTTCTTTGCCCTTCTTCTCTCCCCCTCTCTCCTTTCTCCTTCCTCCTTCTTCCTTCCCCTTCTTTCCTTCTCTCTTCCTTCCCCTTCCTTCTTCCTTTTCTTCCCCTTCCTTCTTTCCTTCCCTCCTTATTTCCTTTCTCCATCTTTCTTTCCTTTTTTCTTGCACTTCCTTCTCCCTCCCTCTTTTCCTTCTTTCTTTCCTTCCTTCCTTCCTTCCTTCTTTCCTTCCTTCCTCCCCCCCCACAGATAACTCCAAATAGTTAAAGCTATTTTGAAAGAGAACAAAGCCAGAGACATCACATTTCCTGAGTCCAAATCATATTACAGAGATACAGTAATCCAAACAGTATGGTGAGGTTGTGAAAACAAACCAAAGAGGCAACATGGAGAGCCCAGAGTCTTACTGGCAAGGCTGCTAGGAATACTTAATGTGGAAAAGATGATTCCATCCAAAAATGTTTTGAGGGGTGAGAGCAATAGTATATAGCAGGGAGGGCACTCGCCTTGCATGAAGGTGACCCAGGTGAAATCCCCAGCACCCATCAGGTCCCCTGAGCCCCACCAGGAGTGATCCTTGAGTGCAGAGTCAGGAGTTGGCTCTGAGCACAGAGTCAGGAGTCTGTCCCCAAAACCTAAATTTAAGAATGGTGTTGGGGAAACGGAATATCCACAGACAGAAGAACAATCTTGGCCCACATCCAACACCGCTCCCAAACATGAACTTGAAATGGGCCAAAGACTCCAACATTGGAAGGCAGGAACCCTCAAACTCCTGGAACAAAACAAAGTGAAAAGTTCCTTGACATGAATCTTGGCAAAGATTTTTGGACCTGACTCCAGAAACACAGCAACCAGAGTCAAAAACAAAAATCAAAGAAATTCAACTAGCAAGATGACATCCAGCGAAAAAAAACTTCTTCACAGCAGAAAGTAAAATCTTCCACTCAGCGACAAAGGCTGATTAGTTAATACATCCAAAATAGAGAACGTAGGGCCAGAAAGATAGTACAGTGGGGAGGGTACTTGCCTCGCAAGCGTCCAACCCAGGTTCAATCCCCGGCATCCCATAGGGTCCCCAGAGCACTGCCAGGAGTGATTCCTGAGTGCAGAGCCAGGAGTCAGCCCTGAGCATCGCTGGGTGTGGTCCCAGCACCACCCCAGAAACCAAAGAAAAGGAAAAGAGGGGCCTGCCCCCTCCCTCTGCATGAGCATGAGCACCCCCTGCCTCTACCTGCTCCAAGCACACAAAGGAAGCAAAGTGACTCTCACCTACACACACACACACACACACACACACACACACACACACGGGGTCCTGATGCACCTCTCCTCCAGCATATTGGGGGTCTTCAGCCATAGAGGCCTATTTCTTGGATCCAAGAGAGGCCTGTGTGGAATATTCTCTTTTTTCTTTATTCTATTTTTTTTCCTGGCATTTTGGGTCACATCTAGAGATGCTCAAGGGTTGCTCCTGGCTCTGCACTCAGGAGTTACTCCTGGTGGTGCTCAGGGGACCATACTGGGTGCTGGGGATCAAAACCAGGCCGGCCATGTGCAAGACAAACACCCAGCCCACTATACTATCACTCTAGCACCAGGCATGCAAGGTTCTTGACTGACTCATGGCAGACCCACATTTAACAGAATCCTTTGAGCACTGGCACTACACCATAGAGTCCTCCAACCCTTGCCCAGGGTAATCCCTGAACAGAGTCAGGAGTGAGTCCTAAACAAAGAATCAGGAGTCAGCTCTGTGCACAGCCAGGTGAGGTGCAATCCCCCACCCAAGAAATGTTGGGGTTTGTGGGAACTTGACAGGGTAGGGGCCCAGGGCTCTCTATGAGGGACACTGCCCCACCTTTTCTACTTTTACAGGCACATTTAGTCATGCTTGTGCAAGTCACGCACCTCAAATTCAGGGCCGTCTCCCCAGCTCCGCCCTCTCTCTCATGCAGACCTCAATATCTGGATAGGGGCTCTCCAGGCATGGGGGAACAACTCTAGGCTGGACCATCCCCCCTTCCTGGGGAGAAGGCAGGCACCCCAGAAGGTGGGAGTCGTGGCTTTGAGCAGGTTTTCCCGCACCCCAGAACTCCCCAGCATCCCCCAGATTGAGCCTACGTAGCCGCTGAGATCTGGGATGCAACCTGAGGAAAGATGGCACCCAGTTTCCAAATGAGGCATACCCCATCCACCACCTCTTCCGGGGAGGCCAGGGGTATCTGGTGTTGCCTGTCACTGTGGGGGTCCCTGCAGGCAGGTGTAGGCAGAGAGGAGGACACAGATGCAAAAACACCAAAAGGGAAATGGTGCCTCTGTTCAGGCTCTCTGGTTTGGTTACTCTTACTCCTGGGCCTCAGTTTCCTCAGAGGAAATTAAAAGGGGCCGGGGTGAAGAGAGCTAGGCTCAGAAACCCCCCTTCAGCCAGGGAGCTGAGACTCAGCCTGAGCATCGTGGTGGGACCTGGACAAGCTGACCCACCGCCTGTCTCCGACCTACCCAACCCCGCCCCCCCTCCCCCTGGGTACCATGACCTCATCCTCGCAGGCTTCTCCAGGCTGGCAACACCCTGAGGTGCTAAGCTGCATCTCCCTCCTTGACATGCGTGTGGCCACAGGAGCTGGCAGCCTCTCTCTGCGGGCTGGGGTGGGGGGCGGGGGGAGGGGCTCAAACAAGGGACCTGGCAGACTCACACATTTCTCTCCAAGTGCTAATCTTTGCAGGGGGAGTGTGTGGACACGGGGGCCCTTTCTTGGCCCCCAGAAGTCTGCTTCATTAGCTCCTTCACACCGAAGGCTCCTGAAGAGGCTGTTGGCAAGTTCAGAAATGAACTCTATGTGGGAACAGTCTTCCAGACACCCCTAAACCTGGAGCAGTCCCTGGGGACCCACAAAACAAGGACATCCGGTGGGGGTTCTACCTTTCCCAGGACAGATACTCAAGTCTTCTTTGCTTTGTCGGTTGTGCTGAGGCTTTGGGGGGTCGGGGTGGGAGCTGGAAAATGACTCGATGCCAGGGCCCCAGGCTGCGCTGTTGCTTGGGCTCTGCAGTGCCTGGATGCCCTGGCAGTGCTGAGGATGAAACTCAGGGTGGCATATTGCAAGACAAGCACCCTTATACAAGCTGCTAATCTCCCCGGCCCTGGATTTTTTTCCTGAGCTACAGGCCAGGGCTTGGCTTCATGGTCAGGATCTGAGGTGGTCAGAGCATGGATTGAGCATCCAGAAACATGCCAACAACATATCCAGGTCATCTGGGGAGAGTTGGAACTAAAGCTCATTCTAGAGACTCTTGTGCTTCTAGAACATTCTTGAAGGACTGTTTTAGAAGACTTGTCCTAGCCCTACCCAGCTGAGTTCTGAGAGCCCTGGCCCAGGTCCGACCCACCCACAGCATGAGGGTCCCCCGCCCCTGAACCCCTGGATTTCAAGGTGAGATGGGGCTGGCTTCTAGAGTCAGCTGGAAATAACCCCTAACCCCAGAAACCATCTGGAGTTACAGGTATGGGTTTCCTAGGCAGCCGAAACGGTGTGTGCCACATCACAGGGTGGACAAGGGAAAGACAGAAATATCCCCCTTGTGCCAGAATCAGCACCAAAATCGCTTACCAGGGAGGGGTCAATCTACAGCCTGGACTTGTGGGGGGAAGGACAGAAGAATCCACCTCAAAAGGAGAGGAAGTGGCTAAAAAGATGCCAGCACTGTGCCCACAGCATTGTTCTTCTATTTTTATTTGGAATATTTTGGCTTAGGGGCCACACTTGGCTGTGCTCCAGGCTTACTCCTGCTTCTGTGTTCAGGGGACCACTCATGATGGGGTTCCTATGTGGTGCCAGGGATCAGCCACATCCCAGACAAGTGGCATAGCCCCACTCAAATCTTTCCAGCCACCAGCATTACATTATTCTAAAGACATGAGATGAAGTCAAACCCCATCAATGGGTGAATGGCTGAAGAGGCTTGAATGGGTGGAAGGGAATGGAGTGGAAGACAAACAGATGAGCTAGAACAGAATAGAACTGAATGAAATGGAACAAAATGGGGTGAAATGAAAATTAATGGAATGGAAATAAGTGGAATGGGATCAAAGGAATAGAATAAAATGGGATGAGGTGGAATGGTAATTCACATAATGGAATGGATGGGATGATGCGGAATGGGAACGAGTGGAATGGAAACAAAACAGAATGGAAAGAAGGGAACGGAATAAAATGGGATGAAATAGAACAAATGAGATTAAATGAAATTGAATGGGATGGAATGGAAAGGAATGGGATGGAAATAGGCAGATAGACAGAATAGAAATGACTGAGATAAAATGGATGGAATGGAAATGCATGTAGGAATGGAATAATTTGGAGGGAGTGATGGGAATGAAATGGGAGTGGGAATGGAATGGGATGGGAATGGAATGGAATGGGATGGGATGGAAATGAGTAAAACAGAAATGCATGGAGTGGAGTGAATGGAGTGGCCATGCGTTGAAAGAGAATAGAATGGAACGGAAAGGAACAGAATGGAGAGGAATTAAATGGTAAGGAATGGGATGGAGAAAATGTATAGAGTGGAATGAATGAGAGGAAACAAATGAGACTGGATTGGATGGAAAGGCCCAGAGGAAGGGCAAGAAGGGAAATGCACCAAGATGTGTGCCATTCCCAGCAACATGGCGACTGTGATGGGGCTGAGGGTGAAGCAA